CCACACACCTCGTGCTAGTACTCGCTGAGACGTCCCAGCGCAAGGAAGCCAGGCCGTGCTCGTCCGCTGGCTGCCGAGGGAGGGTGGTGGCAGAACCCGTTTCCTTTTTTTTTCTTTTTCTTTTTTTTTCTATCATAAAGGGCCGAAGGAGAAAGTGACACTCCTGGCGAAAGTTGTGCAATTGGAGGGAAAGTGATGTTGTTATGTTTACTGTGATAGTGATGTCTATTGTTTTGTTTTGATAATTACAAAAGGAAAATGGAACATGAGTGTTAAGTGGCAGTTGGTCGTTTCAAGAGAAAATGCGTAATTAAATTTCAGTAATTAAGAATAAAACCTTAAAAAATACAAAACAAAACACCAACAGTGATGCCAGAACCGAAAGAAACAACCACTTGAAGCGCAACGGAAGAGGTCAGCCGAGGTCAGAGAGGAACAGCGAAGTCAAGAGAGAGAGAGAGAGAAAAATAAAAGTGAGAAAGAGGAAAATAAACAGGCCAAGACGAGAACAAGCCCCACCGACCCAGGAGGAGGAGGAGGAGGAGGAGGAGAAGGAAGGTGTCTCGAACAACCCCCTCAACCCCTCAACCCATCAACCCATCAACCACAATCCCTGTTACCAAGATGAAAGCAGGTCGGAAGCTGCACTGGCTGAGCGGTGTCATAGGCAGCGCTATGATAATTTACCTGTACGCCCTCAGACAGTCGCCGACGCCCGTTCCCTTTCTACAGGTAAGAGTCGCAGGTCTTTGGGGTAGGTTAAGGGTACAGGTGGGGGGTTGGGGGGTAAGGGGGGGTGGGTATGGGGAGGTTGGGGTACAGGTGGGGTTGGGGGGTGGGGGGGGGGTGGAGGTTGGGGTACAGGTGGTGGGTTGAGGTACGGGTGGAGGGGTTGAGATACAGGTGGAGGTTGGGGGTATGGTAAAGGGGGGGGGGGGTATGGGTTAGAGGTTGAGGTACTTGTGGTGGGTTGGGTACAGGTGGTGGGGGTTGAGGGTACAGTGGTGGGGTTGAGGGTACAGGTAGGTTGAGATACAGGTGGGATGTTCAGGGTAAGGGTGGGGGTTGGGAGTACAGGTAGGGGGGTTGGGGTACGAGAAGAAGTACTGGGGTACCGGTGGAGGATTGGGGTTACAAGTAGGGGGTTGGGGGGAACAAGTGAGGGGGTAGGGAAGGGGGTGGGAGGGATAGTGGGGGGGGGGTTGAAGCCAGGGCGAGTGTCTGCGTAGAGTTGTTTGACCACTCTCTCCCTGATACATCCTTTCCCTTTTTTGTTCGGCTTGTCTGATGTTTGTTTGTTTGTGTGTGCGTGTGCGTGCGTGTGTGTGTGTGTGTGTGTGTGTGGTGTGTGTGTGTGTGTGTTTGCGTGTGTGTGTTGTGTGTGTGGTTTGTGTGTGTGTGTGTGTTTTGTGTGTGTTGTGTGTGTGTTTGTGTGTGTTGTGTGTGTGTGTGTGTGTGTGTTGTGTGTTGTGTGTGATGTGTGTGTGTGTGTGTGTGTGCTTGTGTTGTGTGTGTGTGTGTGTGTGTTTGTGTGTGTTGTGTGTGTGTTGTGTTGTTTGTGTGTGTGTGTTTGTGTGCGTGTGTGTGTGTGCGTGTGTGTGTGTGTGTGTGTGTGTGTGTGTGTGCTTGCTTATGGGTGTTTTGTGTTTACGTTTGTGTGTGTGGCTCTTTTTTGTGTTTGTATGAGTGTGTTTGTGCTTGTTTGTGTGTCTATTTGTGCTTGTTTGGGTGTGTATGGCGTGTTTGTATGTGTATGTGTATGCATTTATTTATGTGTGTATATCTATGTATTTGTTGAACCGGTCCACTACACTATTCTCTCTCTCTCTCTCTCTCTCTCTCTCTCTCTCTTCTCTCTCTTCCTCTCCTCTCTCTCTCCTCCCTCTCTCTCTCTCTTCTCTCTCTCTCTCACTACTTCACTATTTCTCTCTCTCTCACTACTCACTTCTCTTTCTTCTCTATCTCTCTCTCTCTCTCTCTCAACTACTCTATATTCTCTCCTCTCT